CCTTTTGTCTGTCTTCTTTCGTTTTGGGCTCCTGGATCCCATGTACTACCACATTCCTATTCCTGCCAAGTGCTATGTGGCTGAATTTCTTGAGTTGGGTTAGCTAAACCTCTAACTTCCTGTTTCCCTGATCGATCGCGACGAGGCGGGCTGGTAGTTCTGAGAGTACGACTCTTGGGGTTTCTTCCCTTTCTCTTGAGTATACGCGTGGCCTAGTTTTAAACACACAGTGGCTTCTCTTGTTCTTCCCTTCAAAGATTTATCATCAGTTCCAGCTGTGAGAACAGCTTATTATTTAAGAACTTCGACCCATCCTTACTATTCTCTCCGGGGACTTCTGATAAGAGTGCCGTATGCTTCCTTCCTCGCCTCTTTCTCCTTAATGGCTCTGTCGCAGCCCGTTTCGTCACATTCTCCTCTAACCTGCTCTAGTTGGACCAAGATCTTCATGCGTTTCCTACATGTGATGCAGCCCTAATTTAAGCTTTTAAACTTTTTATACATTCCATACCTCACTTCGAATAGCCCACTGCATTTGATGTGATACCAAACGCAGCACTTGTTGCATTGTACACCTTTTTTCACTGCACCCGAACGGCAATTTGTCTTAACAAATTTACTCTCATTGTCCTTCTTGTGAGCGGGTGAAGGTCCGTTGAAGAGTTTGGGGATGGCAACTCGGGATACTTTCACCATTGATCATGTATCAACAGAGACTTCTAGAGACAAATAAAAACTCAGAGCTAAGAGTAAGTAAGTGATAGTATAGAAGGACCAACTAAGACATAGAGGATTGTGGAAAGCTCGATTAAGCAAGGTAAAGGGAAGATACAAAATTTGATTCTAGATAAAGCTAACCTAAACTAACGTCCCGGTGGTGATTGGCCTTCCAGAATCATACAGTGCAATTCACCTGTGAGAAGTTTATCGTCACTACGGAGTTCTCACGTCGGCGACTCCCACAAGGTCGAGATACACAAAAACAATCAGGCTGCTGTTTTCCCCGGATACATTGTGCCTATCAAATAGATCAGCGAGTAACGCGTAGCCGAAATCGGATCCCAAAACGTCAGCAAACCGAACGATCCAGCAAGTTTCTACAGTACTGCATTATTAGACGATCAAATAAGCAAATTATTATGTACAAACCTCAAAGTGATCTTGAAACAACTTGAAAACCAGAGCGAAGTTTTACCGTGAGCAAATCTGAACGAAAGAAAATAAGCCTGGGTAAGAATAGCACGCTCACCGTTACGCTGTACGCGATTCAGCCAAATGTGAGCGCTCAGGTTGGGATTAAAACAAGTAGGGTACGAATGAAGCAGATAAACAAACAAAGTCAAATGGTAGGATCGATGTGTAAATATACAAAGGGAGTGGAATGTCAAATGTCTATGTATGTGTGAGGTAGATGGTGTTAGGTGAATAGAACGTGAAATTCGCGAAATGTGGAACCGATTGACTGCGCTTTACAGGAGGGATTTTCACAGATCGATCAATACACTGCCCGGCAGAATCCTTCCTCGCGTCATGCGGTCAAAGGGAACCTAAAGGAATACTAATTCTTACCCTAACTACCTAGTCCCATTCTATCGCACCTCTCGTCGTCCTGTCCAGCGCCACCCTCGTTCTCTCACGGGTGGCTCAGGAGGTTAACCATAAGCCGTTCTCTATGACTCACAGGGCCTCCCTCGCTAACCCGGAGGATTCCTCAGCTGCTTAGGTTCCCGGTCGATTCTGCATCTTTTCTCTCAAGGTCGCAGGTTCGCAAATGTCTCGCAGAGTTTCGCCGGCTGCCGTTTTCAATTTAACCATGCGCACGAGTCCATCGTCCTCTCGGAGGCATTCTTTATTGTCAGGGCACATTCATCCCGCCGCAGCCGTTCCTCTGCAAACAGTACTATGTCACCAACCCAGAAGTTTCTTTCTCTGAGTATCCATTTTTGACGTTCCACCGTTTCCAGAAAACTCCCGCTAGATAGGTGGCCTGTCTCCGATTACTGGAGTAATAGTTCGTGATAGTTCGAGGTACCGCCAGTCCACGATTCGGTCTCAAGAGTATCTAATCGTTCGGCATAAGCGCGAAACCCGGGGCTTCACTCACGACTGATGTCAAGGGCCTATTGTTCAATATGCGCTCCACCTCGGTTAGGGCCTTGTTTAGGGTCTCATCGTCGATGGACTGTTGTTTGCATACAGCCAATAGGATCCTCCTCACCGACTTTATCATCCGTTCCCAAACCCCGCCTCTATGGCTGGCGTACGGCTGGATGAATGGGCATTGGATAGTTTGAGATGTCAATCGCTTGTGTAGTTCGCTGTGGTCGACTCGAGACACACCTTTGCAGCTCGTTTGACTCACCAACGAAGTTTGAATCGTAGTCGGAGTAGATGTTATTTGGGGCTCCACGCTGATCAGCCTTTGGAGTGCCATCAGGAACGATTCAGTAGACATACTGTGTACCATCTCTAAATGTACCGCGCGAGACTGCATGCAGGTGAACAAACACCCGTGCCACTTCGCCACCGGACTCCTGCACTTCACCAGCAAGGGGCCGAAATAATCCACTCTCGTTTCCGCGAATGGCCACCACCCCGTTTGAACCCTGAATTCGGGTAGAGGTGCCATCAGCTGCATTCCAGTTAATAGATTTTGGCGTCGATAGAACAGACATCTACCGATGATCCCGTTTATTGCAGTTCTACGACGTGTTATCCAAAATCTCTCCTGAATGGCGTTCAGTAAGTGGTTAGTTCCCACGTGCCCGTTTTCTACCTGAAGGTGGCGTATAAGCGAGGTGGTGACAGGGCTACCGGTTGCCAGAATAATCGGATTTCTAGCGTCGAAGGACAAGGAAGAATTGTCCAGTCCCACCCCCATGCGTAGAAACCCATCAACCAGTATAAGGTTCAGCTTACGCAGCGCGTTCCGTTTTGGGTTCATCCCAGCGTTCACTTGTAGCGTCATTTTTTCTACCGGAAAATGCTGCAGTTGCACTGATCTCACGACGTTGTACTTCGCTCTCATTAGGTCATCCGTCGATAAAGGTCCCACACGCAGCGGTTCGTTAGGCCGAAATCTGGTCAAAATCATCACCATATATTTAAATCCTATCCAACAAGCGACCGAACAAATCAGTCTGCTCCAGAACGAGAAGCTTTCCAGTTTCCTTATCAGGGGAGGGCTGACGTCGCGTTCCACCGTCATTATTACCCGTTTTGATTCTATCAACTCAACGGGCGCGGGGGTGGGGTGCAAGCACTGTATTCTCGTCCTTTGACGCGGCGGTCAGGAATGTCGGGCCGCCGAGCCAATCGCGTAGCTTGTCCAATGATTTCAAGCCTCGGGAGCAGTGGTTGGCTTGGTTACCTGCAGATTTCACGTA